TAACGTTACGTACGTACTACTATAGTCGTACGACGACTACTTACTTGTACGTACGACTACTCTCTCTCTCTCTACTATATATATATATATATATATATATATATATATATATAGAAGGAAAAAACTTATATAAGGATGCAACCATTTAATGTAGAACTACGGATGCACTTCAAAAATCCATCGTAAAAGGTAGTTTTAATGTTGAAAAACCTTTTGATTGATCATCTCAACATTGAGATGTATGACCATGAAAAATAAAAAGATTTTAAGTCTAAAAATAGTGCATTTTACAACATATTATCTATACCATCCATTTTCAAGATTTTCATATGTTTATAGAATTATTTGATTTTAACCATTTTTGAATTTCGAAATTTAAAAATTTATAATTAGATATAAAAATAGATTATAAGATAGTCTTATGAACATTTTACATCAAAATGATATATCATGATAAAATTTGATGGTGCACATTACCTCTACAGCTACGAATGTATTAATCATTGTTAGAAAAACTAGGCGCTCTAATTACGTACTGCCCGGTTAGATTGGAACTGGCCGGTTCTAGTTTTGAGCGATTTTGGTGATCAACCCGTATTTAAAAAAAAAAAATTCAAAAAAATGTATATAAGGTTTCAAAAATAAGGAATTTGGTTTGTAATGCATTTTTTTGATAATTTTTATGTTATGGCAAAGATTAAAAATTGTTTTTATCATTAATGCTCACTTGAATTAAAAAATTAAGACGTTAAAATATATTTTTTTCATTAATTTTCAACTTCATTTAAAAGTGAATTGTTTTAATCATTTTTATATGCTTGTCATATTTTAGTAGATTTATCTTTGTATATTTTTTATTTTCCAACATTTTTTTTATCACGGGAATTTGCCTAGTTTGAACAATTGAATTAGCTTGTTTATCGGTTAGGCCAGTTAAACCTCTTCTAGGCCCATGTTCGGGTTAATTGTTCCGATTCGATTTTGCGAATGTAATCTATAAAGGGCGCATGGAGGGTGCAAATTATGAAGGTAGTTGATCCATGAGTATCGAATTAGTAGATGTTTCATTACAACAGATGCTCCAAGGCATGCTGTTAATTGATGTCGGAGAAAGTAGTGAGGGGTGGAAATTGATCTGCCCGTTAAGGGAGAGAGAGGAGAGAGATGAATAATGTCAAACTATAGAGAGAGAGAGAGATGAATAATGGAGAAAGTAGTGAGAGGTGGAAATTGATCTGCCCGTTAAGGGGGAGAGAGGAGAGAGATGATTAATGTCAAACTAAAGGGAGAGAGATGAATAATGGAATCGGGTGAGGTATGAGGTAGCGAGGACCGGGCTCGTGGAGCTATGGCGCCTACTCCCACTCTCGTTATGGTGGTAAAGTTCAAAGTTATCCATCGAGAAGAGTTGAAGATGAACCCTCTCATGCTCGCAGGGAAGCTCAAGTTCTCAAGAAGGCTTCGGTTCGGTTCTCCATGAGCCTGGTGGAAGCCACCTTTATATGGGATCCCAATCGAAAGCTCAATGATGTGGTAATAGACTCCGTCCCATTCAAACCGACACTCGAGCTGTTCTGGTTCATTCCTTGTCCTCTGCCCCTGAAATATCACAAAGGGCTTTTTAGCCTCTTGAATTTTGATGGGTTCTCAGTATTTTGTATCTCATACACCACATGGAGTCCTTGGACTACACTTAGAAGCTTTGAGTTCCCTAGAAGTAGGGCTGCCAATGGTCTGGGCCGGGCCTCGGGTTTCCAATCTGGTGGCAGCCCTACCTAGATGCCTTCATATACTAGGTCAGAATACCTATAAAAATTCTGGAACTAAGTCAAAATCGAAACCACATAGCTGTAAATCTTTATCAAAAAAACCTAAATTTTAAACCAGCTATAGAAAATTGAACAAGCTTTCCGTCGGTTCGAGTCCCTTGATATACTATTGAAGAAGTATGGCTATCTTTTTTTCTTTTTCTTTACTTTTTGAAAATAGTATGGCTATTCTTTTAACACAAGAGGGTGTACTGGATTCCGCACACCTTGTTTCAGACCTCCATTTATGTATCTTACTCGTATTGAACAACCTAAACATGCTTCTAGAGCCTCCGGAAACATTTCCACTTCGGTTGGTATGCATTTTGATGTGATGTCATGAATAAAGTTTGGCCGTTTATTCGGAACCTTACCGGCGTTGACGTCAAAAACAGATGCCCCCACTTAACACCCAAATTGGGAGGCCACAGCCCCAAACTCCTGAGTCCAAAGCCCTAGAATGATATCCAAAGCCTTCTCTTATGTTCTTGGGTCTTCCCAAATCTTGACTAGCTTAGGGAACCCTAATTCAACTCCTCTAACTAGCCCAAAGTAGGCATAATTGTACTCAAGCTTGCCCTAGATTCTCTAATCAAACTACGAAGGCATGTGTAATTCAAGCTAAATGACTAAAAGAAATAAGTAGAATTTTTTTTTTATTAGTATTATTATTATTATTTTGGATAATTCAGTGGGAAAGACAGGCTCCTACTTATTTTTTCAATAGATTAGGGTGTTACATTTTAAAGATGTTAATTGGGGGATGTCCAGAATGGATACCACGATATAGTAACTAGGTGTGGGGATGCTACCTATTATTAATCCAAACGAAAAGAAAGAATAACAGAAAAAAAAGATTCCAAAATCACCGACATCTTCCTGCCTACATATTTTCAAGCTTTATAATTTCTGCCCAGATTAGGTCCCAAAACCCTATTTTATTTCTTATATCACCATATATGGGTCCAATACCTCCCATGCCTCGTCACATATTTTTCTTCTACTTATATATCCTTTCAAATACCTTATGGTTTGTAGGAAATCTGATGCATATATAATTACAAGTTTAGAATCCTTAAAATAACTTAAGAACCCTAAAATTAAACTAAAAAATTAAAATTAAAATTGAAATATATTAAACAAAATTAAAAATAAAAATAATTTCCCTGCATCAAAATATTATAATATTATCATATTACCAGGGGATCCACTCACTTCCCAGTCGCTCTGTGTTTTGTGTCTCATTCTTAAAATGTATTGCGTTCTCTTTATTTATTTTTTAAATTTAATTTTGTATTTTAAATGTCTGATTTAGTTTATGCCAAAACCTCTAAGGAACCGCATCTAGGCTAGGCTGAAAGCCCATTTGGAGTTCCTACTCATGTCGGCTTGAATTTCGAGTTAGCCTGAATTTGGACCTAGGCTAATTCTAGTCTTTTCTCATATCAGCCCCTTTTCAATAACCCTTTTCATGGACAAAGGGTCGGTGCCGGGCTAGAGTTAGCCTAGGTCCAGGCTAAGAACCTGCACCTAGGCCCTGCTAACCAACCTTAGTTTTGCCTGTTGTATAGCCATGAACAGAGTTATTAAACCCTGCTAAAATCCCACATGTGAGCTTGACTTGTTGCCAGCCCTAGTTTTGCCTGTTGTATAAGCCTGAACATAGTTATTAAACCCAAACCAAATGGGGGTACGACAGGTGTTTTGGCCAGTTTGGTCGAAAGTTAGAATCATGTTATGTTTAAAAAGCAGTTAAAACCATTACTTGGCCAATCAGATTGGGCAGTTTTAGCTGGTTCGACCAGCTAAATGAGGGTGGAAAAGTTTTTAATATATTTTATATTTTTTGTAAAAATCTGATCAAATCAACTTAATTACTAGTTAGACCGGTTTTTGGTTGAAACAAACCCTTCATCAGTTCAAATCTAATCCGAAAAACACTGCCATAAAAGCTTTCCAATATGTCGGATTCCACACTACCATCACCAGTTCACATGCGGCAGTAACCCATCCCAATCATTCAAGAAGAAAAGAACCAACCTCTAATTTTATTCCACGTAGTTATGATATCTTGATGCCACGTCATCAAGCCATTACCCACCAACCTGCCAACCCTACTTGCATTTATCCATTCAGTGAGCAGTTAAGGGGAATAGGAACTTTCCATGCATGAATGAATTGAAAAAGTGAATTACCAAAAAAATTTTTTTAAAAAAAGTTAACCGCACAATCTTATTTCCATAAATAATTTGTTATTAGTCATTTTCACAGGGAAAAAAATATGGAGTTGTTTGGTATAATTGAAGAAGAGGTTTGGCTTTATTAAAGAGGTAAAGTATTGATGAGGTGGTGGCTCATGATCCGTTCTGGTTCTGGAGAGAGTAAGGGCATAAATCTATTTCGTCTCAGATCGATGAATTTAGAGCTCTAAAAAGCATGGAGACCGAATGATTCTTAATAAATTTAAAATGAATAGTTAAAAAAAAAAAACAGTGCCGCATATGCCTCTTGACTGTGCTAGCTTGAGTGACATGGTCACCTGACAAGCTATCAGATCCTGCCAAAATTTGAATTTGAACATGATCGCTTGTCCAGCCTATGTGTGCCATGGATCCTGTAGTCCAATTTAATTTCATTTCAATAGGGTGAAGCAAAGGCTGGCTGCCAAGTGCCCATTTGTACTTAAATTTCAAATGTTGTGATTGGGATTTATTCTTCTGAAGGGCATTGTGGCAGTGTATCCTTTGTAATGGTAAAGAGTTAGTAGGGATTGGGGTTGAGGTCGTGGTGGTAGCACCATTTAAACCTCAGCTATCGATCTAAAGTTTCATTCTTACTGACGCATTAAAAAACCATTAATTATTTCTAAAAATGGATAGAGGCCTATATTCCCCATCGAACTACCCAAAAAAAATGTAAAGAGCTAGTAAAAAAATTGGGCCCTAGCCTAGCCCTTTGAATTCCTCAGTCCCTTTATTGCTTGT